AAGACTAACGTGGAACCCACATACTAGACTCAAAAGACAAGAACTCAACCGACGATACGGCCAGCTATACAGACTACTAAACAGAAAATCCAAACTTTCTATTGAAAACAAATTACTTATCTACAAGACAATACTGAAACCTATATGGACATACGGACTTGAACTGTGGGGAACAGCAAAAGCTTCTAACATCAAACGTATTCAATCCTTTCATTCTAAAGTCCTTCGAACAATAGTTGATGCTCCGTTCTATGTAAATAACAAAATCCTACACCATGACCTTAATATCCCATTTGTCCTAGACCTTATTCCAGAAAAATTCTCCAAATTTCACCAAAACCTTACCTATCATCCAAATCCCCTTGCACAATCTCTATCCAGCACCACCCATCCTTACAATCCTCCTCGAAGGTTGAAGCGGCAGTGGCCCAGAGACCTTTTGTAAATAAGCATCTATTGGAGTTTTGGCAATGGCCAGATCCTCCACTCAAGCCCGAGTGTGTATGATTAGGTTAGTTCTTTTGTTTATATACATTTATTTTATTTTATTGTATTTATTTTTATTTTATTTTATTGTATTTATTATTATTAAGTTTCTGTATTATTTATTTTATTTTTTATTGTAAATAGAGTGTGAGTGTGCTTTCTCTAATCACTATTATAAATGTCCTTGATGTGACAGAATGTAATATTTCTAAATAAACAAATATATATCAAAACTTTTCGAATTATACGTAAAACGTAAAACCTCAAATTTTGTGGTGGTTTAAATTTTTGAATTTTTTAGACGATTACTATGGTTCGTTATTGAAAATAATAAACCAAAAGTTTTTATAATTTTATCAACATTTTCTAGTTGCATAATTTTTACAGGTGATGGGAAGGGAGTTAACAAGAAGTCCTCTGTTAGAAATCCTAGGGGCATCATTTTTGCAGTATTAAATAGATTTTACGGTTCAATACATTAGGATTATTTTGTTATAGTTAAGCAACATCTAAGGATATGGAAACTTCTTAATAATTTCTTCGAATTTCCACACGTTCCTTTTGAAGTTCGGAAAAGTAGTGTATATATTGTGTTTTGTTTTTTTTAATTCCGATCTATGATGGTTCTGATGGCAATTCGGAAAAATAAAGGCCTTGTATTGTTGTTGTTGGAAGAAGAATCAGTTAGAAATGACCACTATCGTGTTGCAAACCCAATCTTCAGCAAGGGAGGGAAAGACTGTTTCACGGTGAGCAGGCGGTTTGATTGTTTCACATCCGGCCTACCTTGTCACTTCCGGACCATCTACCCTATTCCTCGATGCTCAGCCACCACAAACCCGATCGGGGATTCCGAAGGAAATTGGAAATCGAGATAGGTTCAAAGGGAGGCTTTCCCATCACCTTATCTTCGCTGATATAGGTCTAATGTAAAAGATGAACCAACCGCTATTTACAAGCGATGCTACGGTGCGCGCATCACACAATTGTCTCCTACCGTTCTACTTTGAGTAGAAATTTGAATTGAAATTGAGTATTTTCATATACAGGTCGGGTAATAAAATAGAAAATTTTATAAGGTACCTTTTCCCATCTACATAATCTATAACATTTATGCTTTTTGACAACCCATCTTCTTCTACAACTGCATATTCTAATTATTTACATAATCATAATAGATAATTAAGTAACAGTCTAAACGCGCCTTAACAGTCTAGATGAATTTTTATTTAAATATCCTACAAAATAAAAAAAAAAGAGAAGGAGGCCCAACTTATTTGTTATAGAGATATAGCGCTTTTTATCTTACCGGTTATGCTGTCAAGGGAAGAAACATGTTACCGTACTTTTTTCGTTTTTCGATAATCCTAAAACTATACATTTCTTTTTATTTGATATATAAATTAGGGCATTATTCACCAACATTTCATTTATTAGCTATTTTATTACGACGTTTCGACCATCATTAGAGCCATTTTCAAGTCATATTGAGTGAACTCCAGTATAAATTATAAATACCTAAATTTACTAATGTTATTAATTCTATATTAATACCGTATTAATTTGTTCAGAGAAAAATTAAATTGTCCCGCTATTTAATTTTTCTCTGAATAAATTAATACGACATTAATAATGAATCTCTAATGAAGGACTCAATAATTCACGTATTCAGTTCACGAAATCGAAAAAGCGAAGGTACAAGTCCATGTAAAACTCATAACATTTCTTCATAGGTAGTCGAATTACATAAAATTGATCCATGGTGCTCTTGTCGTACCTGTAACTCATTGATAATCAGGGAGTGAAATCTGTCTTGTCTTTTTTATATAAGGCAAAATTCGATATACTACAATTTGGAAATAAAAAAAAACATTTGTATAAGAAATGACAACAAGAAAACATACAACAATTTACAGTCTTTTCATTTCTTTTTTTTTCGCCATTAATTTCTGAGGAAAGCTATTAAAGCTCGGACCAATTTTCCAATTAAGTACAGACCTCTGCCATATAGATCAGCAGTGCCATAAGAAAACAATAGTTAGGCCGGGGAGGGGGGGAAGAGAGGGAGGAAAGAGGGGGGCCGAGGCGTTAGCAGCAGGAGTCAGCGGTAAGTAATCGCCGCCTGTCGGTGACAGGGCCTCCTATATCATCCGCATCCTCCACGTCTTTTGCACTCCCGCCACACATTCCTCGCTCTGATGTATGCTTTTTGTACCCTCGTGTCCAATGGCACTCTACACATCCTCTCGTTTATTTGGGTCTGTGTCTGCGTATACAGTCTATCCCTTAAATAGAGGGAGATCTTTAAAGCAGCGATAAAGAGATACAAAACAGACCTAAAGAGATACAAAACAGTTTATATAAATAATGGAGCAATTTTCAGTAAAAAAATTAGGAAATTTAGGTATTGTCTTTGTCAGGTTTTTTTTTGTACGAATAGGAAACGACAGCTAAAAAAATATTTAAATTAAGTAATTAACAATTGCTTCACAGTAAACTAGACCAAATTTACTTCAAAAGAAAGTAAAGTTTGTTATGGGTAAATTTAGTGAGGACTTTTAAGCCGCACTCCAACTGCGGATTGACTCTCCTACTCAATGGTCACCTCTCAAAGTGAACCATATCTTAACCGAATGTTATGCATTCCAATCTCTTAGGGATCAATAGTGTTGCGCAAATGCAAGACCGGGACGAGTCTTGGTCTTGCAAACTCAATCTTGGTCATGGTCTTGGTCTAGCGCAAGAGTCTCGCAGTTACTTTTGAGCTTATTACTATAGATATATTACTGTATTTTTTTAGATAGGAGAAACCTAACTAAGCCCGAATGAAAAATTAGAGGAGTAAAATGCAAAATTATATTGGTTATACCAATTATTAACGTATTGTAACTAAGATCGTCAAGTATTAGTAACTATTTTGCCTTAATTTTTATTGAAAAAATCTATTTTCTTTTACCACTCCTGGTCTTGGTCTTGCAACAGTTAGGCAGCCTTAGTCTTGGTCTTGTTAAGTGCAAGGCATCAACAATTTTTCAGAAATATTCTTGAAGAATCACTCCAAAAGGATCCTAATGTCATCAAAAACTTAATATTGTTCCTTCAGGAAGTCAAAATATTTCACAAAATTGTAATCATATCTACAAATTTGCATACAATTTAATCACATCTTGTAATTGTAAATGTACATGTTGAGTTTTTTAAGTTGGTAGGTTCTTCTTCAAATTGTAAATATATCTGCTATTTTTTCTTCTTTTAATTTTAATTTTTAATTATAATGGTTTTTCAATTTTTCTTCTAGTACTTTTTAACATTTAAACTGTACTCTTTAACTTTTCTTCTAATTTTTATTTTTTAAAAACGTATTTTTAGCTTTTGTTTTTAAAATCATTAACCTTTATTTTAATTGTCTTTGTTAACTTATCTCCTTTTAACCTTTAACTTTCAATCTTTATAACTTTAATTCAATTGTACTATCATATTCATTTGTAACTATTCTCAACTTTAAATTTTATTTGTAGTTTTGTTATGTATGGCTAAGTAGTAGTTGATTCAATTGTAATAAAGGGCGAAAATGTCTGAAGAGTCTGGTTGAAGAGCCCAATAAAATAAATTAAATTGAGAGTTCATTACGAAACAATTTGAGATTCATCAAAAATTGTGCACAAAATTATGCGATTTCATATTCTGTCATATATAATTATTCATATTTTCAGCTAAAATGACTACTGTCAGTTATTGCATAACTTTATTTCCTCATGGTCTGAGACTTATTATTATAACCACGAATGCATAAATACACTATTTAATTATATAAATTAAAAGTGATGGAAAAAAATAAATTATAGCTTTTCAATAAGAAATACAAATCAGCTTCGATACACATTTTTAAATCTATCTACTTCCTAACTTTTCTTCTTTTAATATTAATTTTATTTTTTAAACCGTATTTTTACATTATATTCCTGAAATCTGTAACTTCTTATTCAAATGTCCTTGTTAACTGTTAACTTATCGTTTTCTAATCTTTAATGTTTAATTTTATTGGTTCTTGTACATTTTAATATTTACACTGTAACTTAGCTTCTATTAATATTAATTTTTATTATTTAAAAATGTATTTTTTAGCTTTTGTTCTTAATATCATTAATCTCTATTTTTATTGTCTTTGTTAACTTATCTCCTATTAAATCTTTAACTTTCAATTTTTATAATTTTAGTTCTATTGTACTATCATAATCATCTGTAACTATTCTAAACTTTTCAAACTTTAAATTGTATTTCTTAGCTGTAGTTTTGTTATGTGTGTAGTAATTGATCAAATTGTAATATAGGGCGAAAATGACCCAGGTGGTTGAAGAGCCCAAAACCTGCATAAATAAATAAATCTATCTACATAAGTGCATAAAGAGATATAAGTTAAAAAAAAACTGATAAAATTTGTTTAAGAACTTGGTTAATGTTAGAATACATTAACTTCACAGTTGTATATTGTGCATATGATTTATTAATTTTAGCTATGGAACGAAATAAATCTAAGCAGTAACTGAGGACAATGTTGCAACTGGCCATCCATAACAGACATCTGTTACTCCCCGGCGCAACTGTAATAAGCCTCTCTGATATTGGATCCTCGTCCACCGCCAGCGATGAGGAATTTAATACCGCTCCAGCAATTACACGAGTAATAACACGAGTAAAAATCTAATAATCCAACGAAATATTTTAATTTCAGATAACATGAAATATAAAAACACTGACATTAATAACAGCATTCTTCTTCATAAAATAACTGCCCAAGATTCAGTATTTTTATTGTAAAAATAATCTAAAATAATTTAATAAAACTACAGAAAGAATGTTTTTTTATAAATGTTTATTAGTAAAATAAAATCATAATTGTTATTTGATACGATGCGAGGGCAAAATTACAGTTTACATGTACTCGAGGAAATTGTTGAACATTGCTAAGGAAGAAAGATTTAGGTTAATTTTTTTATGTAAATAAAATGTAATGCGTAATATGGCAGAATTTGTTTTTCCAATTTTCCTCATTATAAAAATAATGTTATTAAAAAAATTAAAAGCAAATTGCCTCCGCTCCCTGAATCTTTTAAGAATGGTCGGTAACACTAGCTGCCGATCGAAAATGTAAGCTAACCCTGTATAGGACACTATTGAGATCGAAATTGGACTATGGCTGTGATGCCTACAGCTCGGCATCCAGTACCATTTTAAAAATGCTTGATCCTGTTCAAAACACCGCCCTCAGAATAACTACTGGTGCTTTCCGATACAGCCCTGCAAATAGCCTATGTGTCGAAGCTGGCGAGCCTCCGCTTGAAGAGCTCCGCAGGTGTGAGAGAATCAGTAATATGAAGTAAACGACAACATATTTTCCCCTTTCACCACTATGTAATAATTATACATAAGTGTGCTGTCATAGCTTCGGAGGAAATTTTGTTCTTGTTCTGAAGTTATTAGATCATTTTTATAGTTTGGCCACTTAAACCTGAAACACCCTGCATATATATATATATATATATATATATATATATATATATATATATATATATATATATATATATATATATAATGAAAATAATTAAGAACAAATCTAAAAAAATAATAATAAAAAAAATAAAAAAAATTAATAAAAAATAAAATGAACAAATAAAATATAAAATAATAATACGTTGGTAATTGTGAGCGACGCGGCCTCTATGGACAGCTATCTGCAGTTATCTTATATATATATATATATATATATATATATATATATATATATATATATATTAAGAAGAAACAGGAAAAAAAGAGGCAACACCAAATATATATATATATATATATATATATATTTCTTATTATACGAGAGTCTAATTTCATATGAAGATAGGGATTATCAGTGCCTTATAACAATTATCAGTGTTCAAGTTATAAACATTTAATAATAAGAAATATAAATAACAACAACAACAAATCTTATTGGCACTTGAGGCCGCGTTGCTCACGAGTACCAATAAGTAGTAGTAAAGAAATTATACTGATACATGTAAAAAACATATATATTACTTCACAAATTAAACGATATATATAAATAGATAATGGTTAAAAAAAATCTGTACATAACGAAAGTCAGTTAAAGGTAAATACAAAAAAAAAAAAATGAAATTCTTCTAAAACTAAGTCTTGGTTAGTAGAGGTACAGTTTTTTACTTTCACTTATCTATATATGTAATATATAGTAAGGGTAAGTATTGTGATTGTGAAAATTTTCGAATCTGATTTTTCTACGGAAATACACGTTTTGAGGTACCTTGAGTACTAATAATCAAGTCCTGAAAAATGGTCAGTGTGTATGTGAACACTCTAACTCGAAACCGAAAAGTTGTACGAAACTGATATTACATATTTAAGAAAGATATATGCCTTAGATGTCCTAGCAACTTTTCCCTTAAAATCAGCTGACCGGAAGTGCCACTTTATATCAACGGTGAAACACATTTTTTACAATTTTCTCAAAAACGGCTCTAACGAGTTTGATTAAACTCGGTGTATTATTCTATAGTTAAGAGGTCTTTAATATCATTTAGGTCTTATCCCCGTTGATGTCACTAAACAGGGCTTAAATGCCCAATGTTCAAATGCGTCTTCCTCTAAAGTACCTTTAATATGGTTTATTTTAAATAATCGACTATCTCTCAATATTAAAAGTTACGAAAAAATGCTGTAACTTTTGAAAGAATTTAATAATTGAATAAAGGACAAAACGTTTATTCCGAAACATTGTCATGTAACTTATTAGAAAATTAAATTAGTGAATAATTTGATCAATTTTCCCTTTGCGATATTTCTACAGAATCCACTTACAGTCAGTGTGAAAACTTTTGACCTGTCTAGGACAGACAATGTAAATCTCTCTAATCCGTTTTATTAAACTTTGCAATGGAAAATAACAGTTTAATAACTAATAGCCGTACAACCCATAATCAACGGATCGTACAATCCATAATCAACCGGTGATATAATAAATAGAACTTTTCTTATTTATTTTTTATGATTTGTTACCTGTTATCTTTTAGCTTTAGCTTTGTTAAAAATGCAATTCAGAAATTCTATAATAGCTCAACATGGTCAAAAAATCATTTCTATTCAAAGTTGAGCGGTAATTGAAAGTTGTGTGTTGCGAGCACCAGATTTGTTTGCATGCATTAGCACCAGATATTTATGATGAGTTTGTATTGATTATTATCGAAAGTTTTACACAATAAACCGACGTTTTGGAAATAATCTATTATTGTTATTATTTTTTTTTTTTTATGCAAATAAAAGTAACTGACCTCTCAATGGCTTCAAAATAGCGAAAATCCGTTTTAAATGTTTGATATCTGTTTTTTGTAATTTTAAAACCACACAATTAATTGATAAGAGATTTTCGTTTAAATAATAAAAAAAATGAGGTTATTAAGTTTTTTACCTTACAATTGTCTTACTGCTCCACTCGCGTTGTTAAAGAGAGGTTCAGTATACAATAGTAACCTAGTAATACAAATAAAACAAACCACAATCAACTTGACTGATTGCATTAATGCTAATCGGATCCGGAGCGGCCCTGCCACCTCGGCCGACAGTTATTAATCAGGCTGACCTAAAGGACTCGAACCCTCCACAGAACAATCAATGAGGAAGGAGCATACTTGGATAGAGAGCAGCTGTAATAGTCCCGGGGGTCTCTTTAAATTAAAGCCGCCGGGGGAGGAGTGAATAACCGGGGGTAGTTTTAATCCGGCCTTCTCCGGGCACCTGCTACCCCAAGTCAGTTCTGTTCTTATTGTTCTAATATTGTCTTTGAATATATTGTTGTTGTGTGACAGGGCATTAGTTACAACTAATTATTCGAGATCAAATTCGGAGAAATATTAATCACAGTAGAACCCTGCTTCTCCGGATTAAAGTTGCCAGGACCATTCCGGATTAAATGAACAGTAGTGTGAAAAATTCTGATGAGTTTTTGACATTTTCTGAAGTAAAAGTAACATTAAATAGTAAAAAAAATATTTTGAAATCTTGAATGTTAAATTAAATTATCGAAAACAAGTGAAGAATTCCAATAATAGAACAATTAGCACAGATAAACTGAACTTTATACAGTTTATATAAGGGCTCTTGATGTTAACAATAAAGGTTAAAGATTAAAGTGGATAAGTATTGAAATATGAATAATAAGATATTATTATTCAAAGGACCAAACAATTTATAATTAAGAAGATTTAAAATGAAATATTTATCATTTTTATAAAAATTTGATATTTCATTATGATTGTTTGACCTTTGTTCTTTTTATAATGATTCATTTGCCTATTGGTCAGAAATAAATCAATCATAAATTAGTATTTGATAGCAAATTCATTTGAACGTTTCGGGGAAAATTTCGTGCTCCTCCTCAATAATATATTACTCATCCAAGAAATTGGGTTAGTCACAAAATATCAATTCAAAAGCATTGAAGGAGTACGACTATTCAACAGGAACTAAGACTTCGAAGCGCATTTAGGTCCTTAATTTGTTTATTATTATTATAGATGACGATATCCCTAATGCCAACAGAACAAATAAAAATTGTAATTTATTTATACGTTCTAGTTCTGTTTTAAACACAGTTAAATTAGCCGAATCCAAAGCATTGAAAAGATAAGAAGCGCACAAGTTGAGTGTGGCTGATATTACGAGTGAAATAAGTCTTCGATTCCGCGTGTTTTCACAGCCATCTCACAAATGAACGTGTCTACGTGAGGTACATATGAAATTTAATGCTCTTTTCAATTGATTATGACAAATTTCTTCGGGAGATCTAGATTTCATAAGTTTTGTAGAGAAAACTGTCGAAAACACACATTTCTTGTGAAATAAGCAAACTATCAACATTATCTAATTCCTCTCTCGTAGGCCCTAAATCAAAAAGCTATGTACAAAATTGATGGATAAAATAAATAAATAAACCTATCTTTACGCTTAAAGCTCCTCATCTATACAAGTATAATACGGTCGGCTCAGTTTCATCAAGCTGACAAGCAAAGCAACAGGAAAAAGATTACAATATTTCCAAAATGGAATAATAAGAAAAATAGTAAGAGGAACCACCATACAGAGAATTAAAACATTGGATATACAAGCAGCGCTAAATTTATTAACTGTAAAAGAATTTCTCGCAAAACGAAAAAAAATCATTTTTCGAAAAGTCTCAACAATTGGCAAACCCTCTATTCAACAACTTATTACCAGCCAAAATTCCAAAACGTTGGCAACAACTCACATAAGATAGGTGTTTCATTAATTTAGTTGTAAGCTCTAGAGGATAAGGTCAACTCAAGCCTGAGCCATCACCGATTATATTACAGATTGTAAAAGAAAATATTCAGATACGACAAAAAAAAAAAAAAAATCAAAATTCACCTTACAATGCTTTTTAGCAGTAAAAGGACTATTATGAAGACTATGAAAATGATCAAGAATTCAAGACAAAAATAAATAGGAAAGAGGCTATAAAAAAATTTTTTTTTCTTTAACTTTGCATTCAATAATTTC